AGCTGCAGCGTGTCGAAGAGCTTCATCGACATCTCGCCAGCGGCAAAGGAGTTTTGGAGCGAGCCGCGGAGCTTGATGACGTCCTGCGCGCGGGAAGGAGGGAAGGGGGGGTGAGTGTGGAACGCGTCGCGCCGCGCGGAGGACGCCGAGGCGCGTGCCTCGGCCGTGTAGTTCCGCTTGGTCTCGGCAAAGCGGTCACTCGACCACCACTGCTTGAGCGCGGCGACCTCGGCCGCAAAGTCGCGCTTCTTGGGCGGGATGCGGGGCATCTCGCCCGCCAGGGGCACCGTCGACATGCCCCTGCTCAGGAGCGCGACCGCGGGGCGCGATTTGTTGGCGTGCACCATGGGAGCTCTAGTTTGGACCTCGGTGAGAGAGCTCTGGCTTTGACGAGGCACGGTGATTGCAGCGTAGAACTTTTTGGTATCGTAGGAAGTGTGCACCCTCCTTGGCTGAAGTCGAACGTGCCTCCTCGGCACGCGTGCTTGTCGGCGTGTGTGTGTGTGTGTGTGTGTGTGTGTGTGTGTGTGTGTGTGTGTGTGTGTGTGTGTGTGTGTGTGTGTGTGTGTGTTTGTTTATTTAGCGTGTGTGTGTAGAGACTAGAGAGTCTTTCGCACCGTGTTTGTTGGAGCGGCCGCACATTGCTCGGTACCCCCCCTGCACATCTAAAGCCATGGCCGACCCCCCCCCCAGCAGCAGCGCTCTGCCTGTGGGGGGTGCTGCGTGCTGGCATCTCTGTACAGTAGTACTTGAGCACTTGAGCACTGGATAGGGCCGATTCCGCGTGGTACGGGACCCCTCGATCGTCTCGCCCTCCCTCACTGGTATGTTCATTGGGGGGGGTCATAACAAACACGGTACAGGATCGAGGTGCACGCTGCCGAAGCAGTGTCGTCCCCCCTCTCCCCGACGGCGATGGCGGTGTGACCGATCGAGCTACAAGAGGAGCTTGTTCAGCAGGATCCGGGATAGTCAGATGCACTACCTCACTGGGCCTGAGACCATCACACGACGCACCCATCACCGTCTCGGATTTGTGTGGAGTCGAACCACTCCGGGATGGGCAAGCCCATCGATTTTCACTA